TCCAGAAGGCATCAGGATGCCCCATAGGATCCAGGAGGCATCAGGAGGCCCCATGGGATCCAGGAGGCCTCAGGAGGCCCCATGGGCTCCAGGAGGCCTCAGGAGGCCCATCAAGGGGGATACCGGTATCCCCTCCTGGTCGCCCCGACGGGAGGGGGGGAGGGCGGGAGGGAGTGACCAGAAAAAAACACATTCCCAATCTCAAAATCGCGAATTCACCGAGGACTCGAAAATCGGCCAAAGATTTCGGGGTATGGTCTGTGTTCGTCGTTGTCCCCGTGGCAAAACCCTTCCCCGAAATCTCCCTCCCCGAAGTCTCGAGGAGCCTGCGTTCTGTTCTGGCCCTCGCATGTTCGGGACTGGGCGTCTGTTTTGAGTTGGTGAGGGAGGGCTGGAAGAGGAGGAGGAGGAGGGCTCCCGTTGAGGCACGTCGTGCCAGTCAGTTTTTTTATTGCCTCGGCGCCTGCCGGCGCCTTCCGCCTGCCCCAGCTGCTCCGCTGGGGGGGCTTCGCCCTCTCCTCCCGCCGCCCAGGGGCCGCGTCCGCGGCCCTCGCCCGCCGGGGGGGGGGGGCCTGCGGGGGAAACGAGAAGCCCCGAAGCCGCCCCAGGAGGGCCAAAGAGGCCCCTGGATGGCCAAGCTCCGCTCCAGGAGGCCCAAGCAATAAATAGCCCTTAAGTGTCTCAATGATTTGAACGGTCTCACCTGTCGGGCTTCCCGACGCTCCAAGACGGCCTCATAAGTCAGACGGCCCAAAAGGCCCCAAGACGGCCCAAGAGGCCCCCAAGACGGCCACATCGACCCCCAAGACATCCCGAAAGCGCCCAAAGAGGGACCAACGACTGCCCAGTAAGCCCCAAGACTGCCTCTGAAGGCCAAGCGATCCCGTAGATTCCCCCAGAGGCCCCAGCAGGCCCCCAAAGAGGCCCCCCAAAGGCCCCCAAGACGCCCCAAAGAGGCCGCAGGAGGCCACCCAGAGGCTCCCAGGAAGCCCCCCGAGAAGCCCCAAGAGGGCCTCAAGAGGCCTCCTCCTCTTCTTCCTCCTCCTCGTCCTCATTCTCCTACTCCTTCTCTCCCAAATGTTCCCCCGAGGGATACCACAACGGCTGGGGAGGAGCACATAATCAAATCGGTTGGCCAGACTTTGGCCCAACGATTGGGCGCATGGGCGCTTCCAAAGGCAGGGGGCGGCGGTGATTCGCCGTAGGCGTCTTCAATACACATGTGCATATGCACCTATATGTGGCATGAGGAAATAAAGGGGGAAAGCATGCCCCTCTCCCTCGGTATCCTTCCTTCCTCCGTCTTCCTCCTCCCTACCAGCCCACCTCACGGCATCTTCAGAACACTCCACAAACTAAACAGTGCGAGCGATCGTGGGCCCCAAACACGTGTTTTCCCACTGTGAATGTGCACAGCTATGTGGTGCAGCGAGGTACAACCCCTGTGGTGCAGGCTGGGCGGTGCAGTCTGCGTGGTGCGATGTGCGTGGTGCAAGCTAGATGTGGTGCAAGGCCTGGGTGGTGCAGCCTGCGTGGTGCAAGCTGCCAGGTCGCCCACTGCGTGGTGCCGTCCACGTCGTGCACCCCATCGGGGCGCCCACGAGGCGCTAACGCGCGGGCACCGGGCGATGGCCTCGGCAGACCTCCCCAGCGAGGGGCGCCCCCGAGGCGCCCGCGAGCGGGCCCCGGGCGGGGCCCTGGGCGAACCCCCAAGAGCGCGAGGCGCCCACACGGCGCCCAACGGGCGGGCACCAGCCGGAACCCCGACCTACCCGCCTGACGCGGGGAGCCCGCAAGGCGCCCACGAGCGGGCAGCGGGCGAGACATCGACATCCGTTTGGACAGCCCCAGGTTCGCTAGGGACTGTTTCCCCCCCCAAGGCGACGAAAACCCGTCCAAAACCGCCCGAAACCCTACGAAAAGCAAGCCGGAACCCTTCCCGGAAGGCTTTCGGAAGGGTTGCGGGAGGGCGTCGGCCGCTCTGAAAGGAAACCGGTCTCTCGCGAACCCTGGACTTTCTAAACATACCTCCCAAGCGCGGGGCGCCCACGAGGCGCCCACGAGCGGTCATAGGCGGTCAACAGCCGAAGCCCGACACACACGCACACACACACACACACACACGAGCGAGCCACAGGCACACACACACACACACACACACACACACACACGCGTTTCCCGGCGGCGGCTGGGCAAAGGTTACTGCTCCGGCGATATGGCATCAGTGTGGCGCGCTAGATGCAAACGGGGCCGCAGTGCACGTGAGGAGAGGAGGAGACCCCTGCGCGACGGGAAGAGAGGAAGCCGGGCCCGCTCAGGCAAGTCACCGGCTGCGGCGGAGGGAGCGCCGAAGGGGGGGGGGGAGGGCAACCGCGGCGCTGGGCGGCAGCTGGTGGGGGAAGGCAGCCCAGCGGCGGCCGGGCAAAGCCAGGCGGGGGAGCAGGTATCACGAATGGGCAGGTATGGACGACCAGGCCAGCCAATCAATATCAGCCCGAAGGAATGCCGTAATGGCTGACGTTGGACAAGCAGCAAACGACTGCAAGGAGACAAAAGCGGGTCACATGGTGATGCAGTCACCACACCCAATGGGGCAGCCAGCGGGGCAGGCAAACCCAGCGGTTAGGCGAAGCGCCAAATCCGGTGACCTACGAGGCGCGATGGGAGTTGAGACGGGCGGGGCGCAGGCTGCCACGAGTGCGCTGCAATGAGCGCGGCAAGAGCAGGCCAGCGTGAAGGCGATGGACAAAGGACGAAGAGGCAGAGCCACGCCATCAGGGGGAGCGGCGTGGAGCTGGGAGTGCCAGCAGGTGGGTGGGTAAGCGCCGAGATCGGGTGACCTCCGAGGCGCGGGGAGGGGGGAAGGCAGTACAAGGCGCCACGGCTGCGCGGCAGCAACCGAACCACCAATAGACAGGTGGATGGACGAGAGGCCGGCCTGAGAGCCAGGCTGGCGGGGGGGGGCCGGGGAAAGAGCAGCCGATCGAGGTCGGCAGGCCAGGCAGGGGGCGCGGCAAAGCGGTGGAGGGTGCCACAGGCGAAGCCTGGACGAGAACTGCAGAAGGCCGGCGAACCCCCAGCCAAAGAAGGGGGGCGCATCGGCAGGGCAGGACACCCTCCAGGTGGCAAAGGGGGGGCCCAGGGGCCAACGGCGAGCGGCAACTCCAGCCCACCGAGGCACGCGCTGGGAGCGGCCCCAGGCAGGGCGGCGGGCCAAAAGGGAGGCACCGACGAGGGCTCTAGCCAGGTCGGGCGGCGAGAAGAAGCATAGCCCCGAGCGGAAGCCGGAGGCATGCGGAGGGGGGGGGCACCGAATAGGTGCAGTGCTGCGGAAAGAGAGCCGCCAGGGCACAGGGCGGGAGGGAGGCAGTTGGCCAGGCAGGCCACTGCCAGCCCCGTGAGAGGGATGACTCGGAACAGGTCGCGGCAGAGTGCCAGCCTTGGGGGAGCTGCCAGAAGGTGGCTGCGCGCGTCGGACCACCGCTGGCAAGCACACGCACACGCACACGCACACACACACACAAACACACACACACACACACACACACACACGCACACGCACACGCACACACACACATGCACACACACGCACACACGCACACACACACACACACACACACCAAGCGCGGAGCGCCCGCGAGGCGTCCACGGGCGCCCACCAACTGGGCACCAGCCGAATCCCTGACACGCCCATGCAGTAGGGAACAAAAATAAAACCCCTACGTGCAAGCACTGGTGCGAGAATGAATGCAAACTACTCGAACGCCCCCTCCCCCAAACAAAAAACCTGCAATAACCGTGGAAGGCATCCGAAAATCTCCTGCCTCTCTCCTCCAGCCTCCTTTCTTCCACTCCCCTCCTCCTCCTCCTCCTCCTTCCCCCAGGACCCTCAAGAACCTACCAGGCCCTCCCAAAAGCATGAGGAAATCCCTGGACACCCCCAGAGATCGCTGAATCCATTCGTTCTCTCTCTCTCTCTCTCTGCGTATCCATATTCCTCTCCCGCCCTCGCCGTCCTTGGTGAAGACGACGACGGTGACGGCGATGACATTGACATTGACGACGGATATGACGAAGATATGGACGACGACGTTGATGACGAATGCGGCAGCGATGCCGACGTTGACGTTAACATTGACGACGGTAATCACGATCACCACGACAACGAATGCACCGTGGGCAACGGTGACGTCAACGTTGGACAACGATGACGTTGCCGTATGCGTATCGATCTCTTCAATGCGGGGTCCTCTCTAGTGCCAATCCAAGGCCAACTTTTCATCCCGAATCGTTTTCTGACTGCTCAGGGTCCCAGCACCAGCTTCCCCGGATGCCCCAAACCCGAGAAACATCCTAGCTTGTCTTTGAACAAGACGTTGGATGTCTGGGCTGACGGCACGGCGTCAGAGACGCCCTGACCCCGGTCAATGAAAACCCAGGCCAGTCGGGCTTTGCAAGATCCTGCAAGATCCTGCACGCAAGCCCGGGTGACTGCACCTCTGGCCCTGCAGGATCCTGCAAGATCCAGCGCCCTGGCTGACCCTGGTTGCACTGACCCCCGTCCCTTCTAGAAGCTCAGCAAGCGGCATACACATAACCTGTCTAAGATCCGCGCTGGATCCCCCTCCCCGGCGCGCGTAGCGCGCCAGGGGGGGCGCCAGAGGCACCGCCAAGGGGGCCCAGCGCAGATTCAAGAAATCCGCGGGGACCGTCCAAAAGTTCTCTTCATGCAGTATGTTTTGTTTCGATCTTCAGCCTTCTAATTTTCCAATCCACGTCAGCCTTGATCGCCAGGAAGAGTTCCGAGCACCAAGAAAATACCGAAATTGGAGGGCCTTCACGTGCCGGGCCCTGGGAGGCGATACTCCTTCGACACCGCTTCGATGTTTTCTGGGTGCTCGAGACTCTGTCTGGGACGTGGTCCTTATAAGTGCGATGGGGGCAACAAAACTTCAGCCCCGGCGGCGGCGGCGGCGGCGGAGGCGCCCAGCAGGGGGAGCCTCGGCCCATGCCGACGGGGCCGCTGCCCGCGGGCAGGCCACGGGTGTCCCCGTGGCGCTGCCCCTGCCACCGGGGCGCCGCGGCGCCGTCGAAGGAGTCGCCCTGGTAGGACCTGCGGCGCCCGCCCGCCGCTTGCGACGGCACGCGATCTCCAGCGTCATTTGGAAAGGCATCGAAGACAGGTACAGTCGAGGAGCAACCCAAAGGAACGCAAAACCCTTCCTTCGGCCCCAGGAGCGCCCACGTGCACGCAAAGGGCCAGAGGAGCAGCAGCGGAGAATGACCCCAGGAACAGCGAGCTCCTTGTGAACCAAAAGCGGTCCTCATTCCAGCGCCCTGACTGTAATGCAGCGGCGTTTCTAAATCTTTAGCCCCTGGGGCGCCATCGCAAAACCCTGGGGCCTTAGACCAAAACTGCTTTGGATGATGAGCCAGCCATGGGGAGACTGTCGGGACTTCTGGCGGGTCCTTGTTGAAAAAATCTAGACATCGGATGTCTGGAAGCCTCCCGAATGGGTCCGAGCAAATGGGGTCGCAAGATCGCGCTGCGTCGCTGATGCATCGGCGCCGTCGGCGTGGAGAAAATCGGGCTCCGCATTGAGCCTCGGGGGACCTTGTCTGTCACATCGTGCGGCTATCCGCGTCGAATCCGTGTCGAACGCGTCGAGTCCGCGTTGAATCCACGTCGACTCCGTGTCGCATCTGCGTCGAACCCTTGCCGAACCCCATGTCGGGCACACGTCGGCTGAAGGAAAAGACCTGCACTTGCAGCACTGGAAGGTCCGATGATGATGCAAAGAAACCCATCTACTCGGAACCCATTCGGCATGCCTGGAAAGTCTGGGACGGCGGCGACGACGGCGGCGGCGGGCGCCGACGGCGGCGGGCGCTGTCGAAGGAATCGCCCTGGCAGTGACCTTGCGCTCGTCGCGGCCGGCGGCGTCGGCGGCGAGGACAGAGGTGGGGCACTCACACTCGGATGGGGCTGCACGGGGAATCTCTGAGCCGGCGGGTCCAGGGGATGCCTCCGGCGCCGCGGCCGCTCCACAGGGCTCCGGAACGCTGAGAGCGTTCCAGAGCGCGCTGGACCGATGCGTCCTCCTGCCAGGCATGCCTGAAGGTTCGAGTGTGGGCGCTTCATGGGCGTTTTGAGTGGCTGTTTCAGCCTGTGGGAGGCCTCTCGCCTCCGGGGCGAGCCTTCGCCCTCGAGGTCCTGGCTGGGGCGCACCCCGAGAGAGGACCCCCTTCGACCACGGCGGCGTGTCCGGTTCGACACGTGTTGGAGCAGTTCTGGGGGCTCTCGTCGCCGCGGCCGGGCGCGGCTCGAAGAATCGGATAGGGTGGACCTCCTCCTCCTCCTCCTCCTCCTCCTCCTCCTCCTCCTCCTCCTCCCTCCCCTCCCCCTGTTCCTCCTCCTGCTCCTGCCTGCTCTGCTCCTCTCCTCCTCCTCCTCCTCCTCCTCCTCTCCTCCCTCCTCCTCCTCCTCCTCTTCCTGGGAGGGGTCTGTGGATCGATCTTGAGCGGAGGTCGGTCGGACGACGGGGGGGCGGGGGGCTGAGGACGGGGGGCGGGGTGGGGGGGGGAGGGGGGAGGGCCAGGGAGAGGGGAGGACGTTCGAGGGACGAGGGGGAGGAGGAAGACGAGGGAGGGCGACGGAGGACGAGGAGGAGGGAGTGTCTTGGAGGCCGCGGGGAGGGGGGATATCTGGGGAAGGAAAGGGAGGGGCGAGGAGAGGAGGCTTCGGAGGAGGGGGGGGGGGGCGAGGCTCCCTCCATGACTCGCGCAGAAGGAACGATGCCACCGACGGCACGGTGCGGGCTCGCCAGGGGAGGTGGGGCGACCCCGCCTGGGACGGGCGGGCCCTGCTGCCCGCGCCTCGACAGCTGGCAGGAAGCACACGGGCGATGGGGGAATCGGGTCCTGAACCGCGGCCCGTTTCCCTGGTGGTGAGCCCCCCTAAAAACAGTACCCCTGATCCTTCTAGGAGGGGACCAAAGCGCCGGGAGGGCCAGAAACAGGAGGGAGACGAAGGGGTCTTGTTCGCAGATGTCTCGGACGAAGCCGCCCACATGCCTGGAGATAGCCCTGAAAAACCAAGGACCTGAGTTAGGATACGAATGCACTGCCTTGTTAGGGTTACGGGCTGTGTTATGCTTTATGATCTGGAGCCGTCTGCACTGACGGCCCAGAAGCCTGGGACCGCCCCCTGGGAGGCTGAAAGCAGGGAGAACCCCTTTAGGACCCAGCTCCTCGAAATCACTCTCCTCCAGCCCGACCTCTGCGGGGACGATACGGGCGAATAGCCCAGGGGCGGGCATTACACGCATTCGCTTGGGAGCCTCGCCGAAGACACGGATCATCGGCGCCCCTGGACACGTGTGTTGCTCACATAGAACAAGAAAAACCTGCATAAAACATATACTGTTGGCGCTCCGCGCGGATTTCTTGGATCCGCGCTGGACCCCTACCCTGGCGCGCGGAGCGCTCCAAGGGCGGCGCCAGAGGCGCCGCTGGGGGGGCCCCAGCGCGGATCCAAGAAATCCGCGCGGAGCGCCAAAAGTCAACGTTTATGCCGTTTTGGGGGTTTCTTCGATCTCACCTGGGTTATTCCTGTTAATGTCTAGGTTTATGGCGTTTTTGTTCTTCGATCCCACCTGGGTTATTCCTACCGTCGTCTTCGACGAGAGACCCCACGGCCCGCGCCTCGGCAGAGGCCCAGCCGAGGCGGGGGGTGGGTGGCGGGACCGGGCGCGCCTCCTCGCCTGCTGGCGGTCGTGCCCAGCCGCCTCTCTGGCCGACGCCTGCGCGAGCACTGGGGGGAGGGGGCGCCGCAGGCGCGCGCGCGTGCGCGCGAGGAGCTCCTCCTCTGGTCGCGTCGCCGTCGCCGTGGTCTTCGCGGCGGTGGTCGTCGTTGTGGTCGACGTCACGATCTTGGAGGAAGGAGGGGGGAGTGGACAGGTGCGGGGCTAGAGAAAGAGGAGGGGCGGGGCGGGGGTGAGGGGGAGACGCAGTCGGGACCACCTCCCCCAAAACGCCCACCTACCCACCCACCCCCCGCAAAATCCCCAGAGCCTCTTTCCGTTGTTGTTCCGTCCCCCTATATCGTCTTTCCTCCCTCTGTCGCGTGGCTTGGAAGGGAAGCTCACGGTTTGGGAGCGCATCAGCTGCGATTCGCACCGCGGGGACCAGGCCACTGGTCTCGATTATCTCCAGCGGGCGACCACAAAATATTGGCTTGGAGCGAGTTCCAATGTCAGAATGAGCGAACGCGCGAGTTTTGAGCGAGAGGTTCGACGGGGAAGGAATTCCGAACCGACCCAGGGGACGTGGAGCGACTGCAGTAGTGCTCTACACCACCACCACCACCACCACCACCACCACCACCACCACCACCACCACCGATCTCGCATGAACATCCTGAGATGCAGTGAGGATCATTGATGTGTTGAAAGCTACGCCGCGTCAGCCACTTCTCCGAAAGCGTCCGCACCGTGGCCAAAGAGGAAAGGGCAGCCTGCGCGGCAGACGAATCCTACGAGACGATGCAAACCAGGACCTCCTCTTTCTTCGACGCGCCGTCGGGACAGTGTGGTCCGCAGCGTTAGGTCGGGCATGTCTCCCTACGGGCGGGCTTTGGAGGACAACTCACAAATTGTCCAGAAATACCCCCGAAAAGTCAACAATTGATCGGATCATCGTCCCCTGATTGTTCTCCGACTATTTGTTTATACTCCTCCTGTGGAGGGGATGCCCGACCTGGCCGTGTAGCGTCAGAGCGCGCGGCCCGCCCCGTGCACCTCGGCGGGCCGCGCCGTGCAGCAAGCGCCCCCGCACCGAAAACGCCCCCGACGCGGCCCGCCGCGCCGGCAGCGGGGCGGCGCACACGATAGGCTCTGGGCGCTCCGGCGCCCCGCGAGGGCGGCGGGCGGGGGCCGCGGCCAGGCCCGGCCCGGGCCCCGCCTCTCGATGAGCGAGGGCGGCGGGGGCCGTGGCCCGGCCCGGCCCGGGAGGGAGGGGCCGCGGGCGGCCTCTGCCCGGGCCCCGCCTCCCGAGGGGAGGGCGGGCGCCGGGCGGGGGCGCCCCGCGGGGGGCGGGGCCGTGGCCGCGGCCCGGTCGGGAGGCCCGCCCGGCCGCTCGGCCACGCCGAGGCCGAGCCGCGAGCTCTCCTGCGGGGCCCGCCTCGGACGAAGGGGCGGCGCGCGCCGGCGGGCGCCCGGGCTTCTGGCCCCTCCCGCGCAGGATCGAGGTCAAGGCTTGGTGGCCGCCTCCTTCCTCCCGAATTGAGGTCGGGCATGCTCTCCTACAGGCGGATCTTGGACGAAACACTGAAAATCATGAAGCATACCTGTACGACCACCCTTCGGGTGATCAGGAGGTTCGGGGGGGGAGGAACCAACGTCTCACTCGATCGGTCTCACTACCGATCTCACTACCGATCTCACTATCGGTCTCGCTCGATCGATCTCACTCGATCGATCTCACAATCGATCTCACTCAATATGTTTCTCACACTCGATCTGACTATCGATATCACAATCGATCTCACAATCGATCTCACTATCGATCTCACAATCGATCTCACAATCAACGCCATCATCATTATCATCGTCATCAACGTCATCAACATCCTCATCCTCATCATCATCACCACCACCACCATCATCATCATCATCATCATCATCATCATCATCATCATCATCATCATCATCATCATCATCATCATCATCATCATCATCATCATCATCATCATCATCATCATCATCATCATCATCATCATCATCATCATCATCATCATCTTCGGGTAACCATCATCGCCACGATCTTCATCATCAACATCATCATCGGGACACCATCATCATCGTCATAATCGGAACACCGCCATCATCATTACAGCATCATCATGAACAACATCATCAACATCATCAGCATCATCGGGACACACACAATCATCATCACCAGCAACATCATCATCATCATCATCATCATCATCATCATCATCATCATCATCAACCTCATCATCATCGGAGCACCATCATCATCGTCACCATCATCATCACCACCACCACCATCATCATCATCATCATCATCATCAACATCATCACCGTCGGGACACCATCATCATCATCATCATCATCATCATCATCATCATCAACATCAGCATCGTCATCACCATCATCGGGCCACCATCATCAAAATCATCGTCATCATCATCATCATCATCATCATCATCATCGGAACACCATCATCGTCATCATCATTATCATCAACATCATCAGCATCATCATCGGGACACCATCATCATTACCACCATCATCATCAACATTATCATCATCAACCTCATCATCATCACCATCATCGGGACACCATCATCATCATCATCATCATCATCATCATCTCCATCATCATCATCATCATCTCATCATCATCTCATCATCATCAACATCATCATCAACATCATCATCATCGGGACACCATTATCATCAGCAACAGCATCATCAACACCATCATTATCATCGGAGCACCATCATCATCTCCACCATATACATCATCGTCACCATCATCAACATCGTCAACATCATCATCATCATCATCATCATCATCACCATCCATCATCATCATCATCATCGCGACACCATCATCATCACCACCATCACCATCATCATCATCATCAACAATATCATCATCATCATCATCATCATCATCATCATCATCTCCATCATCATCATCATCATCATCATCATCATCATCATCATCATCATCATCATCATCATCATCATCATCATCATCATCATCGGGACACCGACGCGACACTGGCAGGACACCAGTGGGACACCGCGCGCCACCGGCCCCCGGTCAAGAATCGTTTGGTCCGGCCGCGCCTCAGCCGGAGGCGGGACACCGGCGGGAAACCGCGCGCCACCGGCCCCCGGTCAGGAATCATTTGGTCCGGCCGCGCCTCAGCCGGAGGCGGGACACCAGCGGGACACCGCGCGCCACCGGCCCCCGGTCAGAAATCATGTGGTCCGGCCGCGCCTCAGCCGGAGGAGACTTTCTTCTCGCCCGCCCACGCAGCTTCGCCTCGCCCGCACGCACGGCACGCACGAACACGAAACCGAAACCGATTTCCCGGTAGGGGGGCTCTCCGTTCCGCTTCGATCTCACCCCCTCATCTCCGACGTTCAAAACATGTCCAAAATAATAAAAAATCGTCCCCAGACTGCTTTTCCTATTTTGAAAAATTCCTCCTGTAGAGGGACGCGCCCGACTTCCTCCAGAATACTGATGGCAGAGAGATGCGTCGGATGCTGCCTCGCCCCTGCCCCCCAGGGGGCCGTTGCTCCGGAGGGAGGTCAAAAAACTTGGATTATCTGTAAAAACACTGCAGCGCCCGGCGGCGCGGGGGCAGTCGAAAGCAGGACGGCGAGGGGCCGTAAGGGAGGAAGACGACAGGGGCTCGAGCCGAAGCCACGAGACTATTCAAACATGTTCAAACAATAAGCCAAAATAGTCCAAAGAGCACGCAAAGTCGTCACCTGACTATCTTTTCTACTGTTCTTGGAAATTTCCTCCTGGAGAGGGACATGCCCGATTTGAGACCAAGCCAAGATCCACTCAATGGGGGAGCAGGGGGACGAAACATGGCATAAACATAAAAACTCGGAGGTCCACGAGGATCTCTTGGATCCGCGCTGGACCCCCCCCCTCCCGGGCGCGCGGAGCGCGCCAGGGGCGGCGCTGGAGGCGCCGCCACGGGGGGCCCAGCGCGGATCCGAGAAATCCGCGCGGAGCTCCGAGTTTGTATGTTCATGCTGTTCCTCGTTCCCGCAGGGAGGGGGAGTGGGTGCCGAGGGCCCGCGCCGATCGGCAAGGCGGGGGACAGGAACAAGACAACGAACAGCGTTCGTCGCAGGCATCCTCACGTTTTCCGGGCGCTGGCCCTGTGGCTCGTGCGCGTGCCGCTCGCGTCACCAAGGCCGAGTACAGGCAAGGGCGTGGAGTGACGGAGGGAGGGCGGGAGGAGGGGGGGAGGGATGGCGTGATGAATAGGGGGACGAAGAATTACAGAAACATGAAAACACGAATAAAAATTATAGAAGTACAGACAGGGCGCGGAGTGATGAAGGGAGGGCGGGAGGAGGGGGGAGGGATGGCGTGATGCATAGGGGGACGGAGGATTACAGAAACATAAAAACGCGGAAGTCCACGAGGATTTCTCGGATCGGCGCTGGACCCCCCTCCCTGGCGCGCGGAGCGAGCCAGGGGCGGCGCTGGAGGCGCCGCCGCGGGGGGTCCAGCGCGGATCCGAGACATCCGCGCGGACTTCCGTGTTTTTTTACGTTTATGTCATTCTTCGTTCCCCTGATGAGGGAAGAGGGAGAAAGTTGGAACGTTTTTGAATCAATTCGCTGAGCACGGCGTGCGGGCGAGACAGGACAAATATGAAAGGCGAGCCGCCGAACCGCCCGCCACACCCCGTGCCCGCTTTGCGGAACAGGCACGCTCAACTCTTTCGGCCCCTCCGAACAGACGACACGGAGGGAGCGCCAAACGGCAGGTGGGGGGCGCTGTTCGGCCGCCGCCAGGCCGTCTCGAGGCCCACCTTTAAGCCTCAGTCCGAACTGGAGCCGTCACCCTCAAAGTCGGGAGGATGCTGAAAGTGAGCCTCCCGACGCAAAGCCGAAGCAACGCTCCCGAGCCAGGACTCTTCCGAGGAAGGCACGTCTGGAGCCGTCGCTGACGGCGCAGCGCGAGGCGGAGCCTGGGGCCTCGTGGACAGCAGACAGGCTGCTCGAGCGGTGGAGATGCCCACGACTCGAGGGGGAGGAGGTGTGAAGGGAGGGAAAGGAGGGAGAGAAGGGGGGGACTGGGGGGGGCGACAGGGGCGGCAGGCAGAGGTGGGATTCGCAGATACCTTTACGTAGCTGGTTCTCCCGGCGCGGGAGGCGACCATGCATCGACGAATGCGTCGAGCGGCATGGCCGAAACCAGCTTCATGCAGCAGACTTCGCACCCCCCTTTCCGAACCCTCCCCTATCACCTGATCTGACACGTCGCCCATCTCATCGAGGGCGATGTAGCTCTGGAATCAGGCGGAGGACGCTGGCGCCTCGTGCCGTCTTGTGGCCATGGCACCAGCGCTGAGGCCCCGAGCATCTGAGACGGCCATCGTCCTCTGCCCCAGCCGTCCTCGGAACGGTCGAGAGACCCTGCGTCCCACGCAGTAAGGGATGCCGCTCCGCTTGCCGAGTGTGCAGTGCCTGTGAAGGTGTGCCACTTATTGTTGCGCCAGCAGCCACACGGGTCAAAGACCAACGACCAGTAGCGTGACACGGATGCTGTTCACCACCATGAGCTGCCAAGCCTGGCAGCAGGGCTGGTCATCGCTTGCCGTCGCGCCACGCAGGGGGACTGCCAGCTTGGCCTTCAACTGTCCCTGGGGCGACGATGACCAACGCACATGCCATCACGCCCATGACGCACGCTCTTTGCCACTCATGAATGCAAACGAAGCGTCGTTGGCCTGAATCCTTACGGAAGAAAGCCACCTGAAGCCCTTAATAGTGAAGCCGTTCTGAAGTTCGCTATTGCAAGCCCAAACGTGTATGGGCAAGAACGGCTCGAGAAGGGAGGGAAGGAGGAGGGTAGGAAGGAGGATGAGGCAGGAGAGTGGCGGAAAGAGGGGGGAGAGGAGGGAGGAAGGGGACGAGGGCAGGAGGGAGGGAGGAGGGAGGGACGGAGGGGTCCATGATGGAGGGAGGGAGAAGAGAGGGAGAATAGAGGGAGGGAGAAGAGGGGGAGGGAGGCAGGATCCCCCCCACCCCGGTCCTGCCCAGCCTGGGGGCCGTGGAGCGTCTGCTGGCCCTGCCGTGGCGCTCCCGGGGGCGCCTCCATGGACGGAGGGCGAGGGAGGGACGGGCGGGTGGCGCCGCGGCTGGCCCTCACCCGAGATCCACGGCTGGAGGCGGAGCACTCTGCAAGAGCGCAAAACACTTCGCAGGCCCCGGGTGGACGGTGGGAGGACGGGCTCTCGAGGACCCGGTTCGTCGTTGTCGGACGTGAGAGCTTCTGCGGGCTTCCTCGTCGCCGTGGCCGGACCCGCCTCGAACACCAAGCAGAGGCGCGCCCGCGACAGGTCCGGGGGTCGACCGTTCGACCGCAACCCCCCCGCCCTCCTCCTCAGACATCTGGCGGCTCGGTCTTGTCGAGACGCGGGCCCCCAGACCTCTCGACCCTTCCCGGGGGCCGGTCTTTCATCCCGACTGATTTGTCCACGGCCCCGGGGCCCGAAGCACGGCTTCGGAAGCCGACAACCGAGAACAGCAAGCAATCTCGATATTTCGAGCCGCCAGATGTCTGGGTAGGGAGACGAACACTCGCCGACTTGAGCTGCAACTCCGTTGAGGGGATCAAGGGGTTGCCGGGGTGGCTCTCTGCCGGGAAAAGAGTGAGGTCTGCAATTTTCCGGGGCTGGGTCCAGGGCCAGGGCCGCGGCCCTCAGCATCTGGTAGCCACAGAAAACTAACTTGAAGACAACTTTAATATATTATGTGACATACACTCCAAGTAAAGTCCCACCCAACAGAAAGCTAAGGTCACTAAGTTCAATCGGGGGTATGCTCAACAGAGAAAAGCATTCGAACACCAATAAAAGTACTAGCCGAATCCATCGCAGTGTCGGATTTCCGCCATCAGCCGAGCAGCTGTAAGACAAACCGCGTGCTGAAAATGTTCATAGGACGCTGTGAAATGTTGAACATAACTGAGACTCAACTTGCTGACCTCAGCGTATCATGAGCTTGATATACAATAATGAACGCGTCCCATCTTACTTTTCCGTTGCTGTCGATTGCACTGTTGTCCAAGCACGTTCGCCCCCCCTATGCCATCTTATCACTCCTCGTCCGTCTTGGGGCCCTGTCGTTGTCAGATCGGGGCCATCAGGGATACTCCAATTGGCCTTTTCGGAGACATCTCAGCTAGGGCACAGTCCCCCCTCTGGGATTCCCTGGTGCCCTCAAGAGGGCCCTCAGAGGGCCCCGTCAACCTCTCGCATGCGCGCGCGAGCCCTCCTGGGCTATCTCGGGCCATCGCTGGGGTGGGTTGCCGAGGGGCCCTGTCGGGGCCCTGCCGCCGTCCCTGGGCCTTTCGACGTCGGACGGTACTGGGACCTCCTACGGGAATCTTCCTGAGGCCTCGTGCGCGCCCCACTTGCAGCCTGGGCATGCGCCCGGACTGCAAGGAGAAGCAGCGATGGCTGCGCGGAACCCACGCGGGCAGGCGGAAGTGGCGCGAGCCACGCGGGGAACTCGTCAGGCGGAAGTGGCGCGAGCCGTACGAATAGTCAGAGTAGGGCACACAACGATATACAACAATGGCAATGTGGGCCGAACAGCGCAGCAAAGAAGTGTCTCGAAAGGAACTGGGTTTGCCAGCCTCGCGAGGAGGAGGGGGAGGAGGAAGAAAAGCAGGACGAGGAGTGAAGAGTGACGACAGACCGACGGGGTGGACACTGCTCAACCCACTGTTGACTGCCAGGGTGCGCGGCGCATGACATGCGTTGGTCAACGACAGGCGGCGCGCCCGCAAAAAGCGCGAGCACCGCGTGCATCAAACATAACTAGACCACGAGGATGAGGTCATAGCGGGACTGTCTGGGGGCGATGAACTCAGCGATCAGCGACGGCACTCTTGAGACGCGGCGCGGTCCGAAGTCCTCGGACCGCTCGTATTTCACGGGGGCACTCATGGCTGTGAAACGTAATTTGTGCAGTGACGTATCACAGGGGGCATTGGGCAGGGGTGCATTGGAACATCGTTGACGCTCCATTGCTTCGCCATGGTCATCACCCCTGTCCTCCTGAAGGTTTTGTGCGGTTTGACACGTGCAACGCACTGTCACTTTGTTGCTTCATTCCTCCTGCTCATCCTCCTCCTTCTTCTCCACCTCCTCCTCCTCCTCCTCTTCCTCGTGTTCCCTCTGACCTTCCTGCTCGGGTTTGTTCATCCCTCTTCTCCTCGTCATGTTTCATGTTTTCCCAGTTCTCTCTGCCCGTTGTGCCACCCGCATCGTCGCCATCATCCTGCTTCCCCCACCCCGTATTCCATGGCCCAAACCCTGTGCGCAGACACAACAACAACAGCATAGCGGCCTGCATGCGTGTCGTTCCCAGTGTCCAGGTCTTCTGTTTTAGTGACCCTGTTTTAGTGACCGCTGTGGAGCAGATTTCCCAAACCCAAAAGAACTGCACTGCTCGCACGACTCGAGAATCAAACCTCACCGGCACTTTTTTAAAAAAGGTGTCTGGTACGTTCTGCACTGTTGCTGCAACATCAGAACTTACCACCTGCGTCATTCACGTGATTAACATAATCCTCGTACATGAACGTCTTACCCCTCCTGACACTCAAGAATCGGGCAAGGTGCGCCGTGTGCCACATCCAATGCAGTTTGGGCGCTGGGTTGGAAAAATCATATCCTTCTGTCGGCTTGCATTTATACGCCAATCTATACGTACGCGGGCCGAGAGATTTCCCTCGTGAGCCCGACATGTCGGAAGCGGCCGTGCCGATCAAGTGAACGGATGTATGTGGCGCACGCTTCGAATCAGGACGTGCCACATGTTATTGGAGTGGATGCGGGAGTTGGCCCGACCCGCGGGGCGTTCGAGCAGCCGTATGTTATGGGAGGAGCTTGTATGATGGTCAAGCCCGCTGTGGCACTCGAGCGCCCAGAACGGAGCGGGTTCGTGCGGAGCGTCCCGGAGCGTCCAAGATCGGCGGCACAGGCTGGAGGCTTCTACAATCAACATACACATAATGAGACCGTCGGTGGTCCACGCGGAGTTCATAGATCGGCGCTGGATCCCCCTTCGAGCCGCGCGGAGTGCGCCAGGGGCGGCGCCAGAGACTCCGCAAGGGGGGCCAGCGCAGATCCAAGAAATCCGCGCGGACCTCTGACATATTACTTTTGATGCAGATGTTCATACCTCGCAAGATGTCATCGCCCCCACCCTCTCCATTCGTCCCTCCTCCAAACCCTGTCCTTCACATTCTCCATCTTCCTCCTCCGCCGCCGCCCACAGCGACGACGACAGCGGCTATCACGACGGCGATCAGCAACGACGGCCACGACAACGACTACGCTGACGCCGACGCATGCGGACGACGGCCACGCCGACGCCGACGCCGACGCCGATGGCAACGACGCTAAAGATGAACATGACAAGATCAACCAACATCGAATCAAGAAATCGGGTCGGAGCCGCGATCGAATCGAATCGGCCGCGCCGGGATGCACAGCAACGCAGGAGCGAGCATAGGCCGCGTCGGCTCGCCTAAGCTACTGGAACCGGCCGAAATCGTCACCGAGTCCGTCGGATCGGCATGGGCCCTGACACCCTCTTCCGAAGGCCACGACGGCGCCGCGACGACGAGGTCGTGCGGGCGATAAGAAAAGAGCACGCGAAAGGGAGCGGCGCGCGGAGCGCACCCGAGTGAGGGCTCGCGCTCCGCCTCGAGGCGTGAGCAGCCGCGGGGAGACGAGGCGCTCCGCCGCAGCCGCCCGTCGCGGCCCGAGCGCGAACGGCCGACTCCGCCCACGCCGAACGCGGCGGCCGGCGGCGGCGGCGGCCGCGGAGGGCGCCTGCCCCGGCGGCGGGGGCCGGGCTGCCGGCGCCGGCGGAGACCTCTGCGCGGGCACCACGAAGGTGGACGGGCGAATCCGGCGGCGGGACGCCTCCCCCGAGTCAGGGGGCCCCACAACGTCACACAAACAACTGTCTCATCCTCCATCTCCTCCTCCTCCCCCTACCCCTGTGCCTCTTGGCGCGGATGGTCTTCGCCTGGGTTGGCTTTCGCCGGGCTTCGTTTCGCCGGGCTTCTTTTCGCCAGGCTTGCCTTCGCTGGGGTTCTTTTCGCCGGGGTTGGCTTTCGCCGGGGTTGGCTTTCGCCGGGGGTTGGCTTCAGCTGGGGTTGGCTTTCGCCGAGCTTGGCTTTCGCCGGAGTTGGCATTCGCCAGGGTTGGCTTTCGCTGGGGTTGGCTTTCGCCGGGGTTAGCTTTTGCCGGGGTTGGTGTTCGCCGGGGATGGGCGCGGGCTCCAACGGCCGGGTCGGGTCGGGCGGGCGGAACCTAACGGGCGGAGCGGGTCGGGTCGGGTCGGGCGGACCCTAACGGCGGGTCGGGTCGGGCGGGCGGGGCACTAAAGTGTGAGGCGCGCTCGAGTGAGCACGCGTGAACACTGACGGGCGGGTCGGGTCGGGCGGGCAGACCCCAACGGGCGGGACGGATCGGGTCGGGTCGGGCGGACCCTAACGGCGGGTCGGGTCGGGCGGGCGGGGCACTAAAGTGTGAGGCGCGCTCGAGTGAGCACGCGTGAACACTGACGGGCGGGTCGGGTCGGGCGGGCAGACCCCAACGGGCGGGACGGATCGGGTCGGGTCGGGCGGACCCTAACGGGCGGGTCGGGTCGGGCGGGCGAGACACTAAAGTGTGGGGCGCGAGCGCGTGAACCCTAACGGGCGGGTCGGGTCGGGCGGGCGGACCCTGACGGGCGGGACGGGTCGGGTCGCGCCGAGTGGATCCTAACGGGCGGGTCGGGTCCGGCAAGCGGGACACTAAAGTGTGGGGCGCGTCGGAGCGAGCACGCTTGAACCCTAACGGGCGGATCGGGTCGGGCCGGCGGATCCTAAAGGGCGGGACGGGTCGGGTCGCGCCGGGCGGACCCTAACGGGCGGGTCGGGTCGGGCGGGCGGGTTACTGAAGTGTGGGGGTCGCGCCAGACCAAGCACGCGTGAACCCGAACGGGCGGGTCGGGTCGGGCGGGCGGACCCTAACGGGCGGGACGGGTCGGGTCGGGTCGAGCGGACCCTAACTGGCGGGTCGGGTCGGGCGGGCGGGATACTAAAAAGTGGGGCGCGCCAGAGCGAGCACGCGTGAACTCTAACGGGCGGGTCGGGTCGGGCGGGCAGACCCCAACGGGCGGGACGGATCGGGTCGGGTCGAGCGGACCCTGATTGGCGGATCGGGTCTGGCGGGCGGGATACTACGTAAAGTGTGGGGCACGCTCGAGTGAGCACGCGTCTGGCTTTGCCAGGGGGGCACGTAGCAGTGACTGATCCTGGGCCTCAGGGGGGCCCGGGCAAGGGCGGTGTGGACGTGTAGGTCAGGCAGTCTGGGAATAGGGCGGGGTGTTATACTTCCAGTGCTGCTGCGGGAACGCAACGGAGCTCCAGCCAACCAGCCGCGGGCAAGAGGTGCAAGAAGAGGAGAAAATGAAAAGGAGCAGCAACAGCATCAAAGGACGGGAGCGGGAGGAGGAGGGGAGGAAGAGGAGGGCGAAAACAAACCCAGGCGAAAACCATCCCGGACGAAACACTAACCCGGGCGAAAGACAACCCAATCGAAAACAAACCCAGGCGAAAGCCAACCAAGGCAAAAACCAACTCGGGCGAAAGCCAACCGGGCGAAAGCCAACCCGGGTCAAAGCCAACCCGGGCGAAAACCAACCCGGCGAAAGCCAACCCTGGCGAAAGCCAACCGGGCGAAAGCAAACCCGGGCGAAACGAACCGGGCGAAACGAACTGGACGAAAACCAACCTGGGCGAAAAACATCTACGCCTTCCTCTTCATCCTCCCCCTCCTCCCCCTCCTCCCCCTCTTCCACCTCCTCCCTCGTCCCACTCCTCCTCCCTCCTCCTCCCTCCTCCTCCCTCCTCCCCCTCCGATTTCTCATACCCCCCCCTCCTCCTCCACCGACCCAGCCGCCACTCCATCCCCTTCCCTTCCTCCTCCTCTCTGCCCTCCCTCCCTCCCCCGCAGCGTCCAGAACTAGGGAAACCAAAAATGGCATAAACATCAAAAACTCGGAGGTCCGCGCGGGGCCCCCTCCCTGGCGCGCGGAGCGCGCCAGGGGCGGCGCCCGAGGCGCCGCCGGGGGGCCCCAACGCCGATCCGAGAAATCCGCGCGGACCTCCGAGTTTTTATGTTTATGTAATTGTTCGTTCCCCTAAGGACCCTCGATCCTCGAACCTCTCAGTGCGACCGCGGGCCTGAACGGCACTTGCCTCCGCTGCGCCGCGGCCCTGGCCTGCGCCGTCGGCGCGCCGCCGCCACCCGAATCCGAGCCCACGCTGGAGCGGCTTGCCAGCGTCGGGCGCGGCGCGGGCAGGCCTGGCGCCGCCACCTCGGCGAGCGCAGGGACAGCGACGACGACGGCGATGACGGCCCCCCCCAAGTCTCCGTCCTCCCTCCTAGTGCCACTGCTGGGGGCTAGAGTCTCATCGAGACGCATCCCTGCTATCCTCCTCCCTCCTCCTCCTCCTCCTCCTCCTCCTCCTCCTCCCCTCCTCCTCCTCCTCCTCCTCCTCCTCCTCCTCCTCCTCTCCTCCTCCTCCTCCTCCTCCTCCTCCTCCTCCTCCTCCTCCTCCTCCTCCCTCCTCCCTCCTCCTCCTCCGAGCTTCCGCCGGCCGAGCTGAGGCGGTCACGGCAAGCCTCCCGCCGAACATCGGCACGGGCAGCGCGGTACTGGAGGGGGGCAGAGAAGCCAGAGGAAGTTGGAGGAGGAGGGGGGGGGGAGTAGGAGGGAGGAGGGGGAGGGGGAGGGGGAGGGGGAGGAGGAGGAGGAGGAGGAGGAGGAGGAGGAGGAGGAGGAGGAGGAGGAGGAGGAGGAGGAGGAGGAGGAGGAGGAGGAGGGAGGAGGAGGAGGAGGAGGAGGAGGAGGAGGAGGAGGAGGAGGAGGAGGAGGGGGGAGAGAGGGATGGAGAAGATGGAGGAAGAGGAGGGAGGGAGGGAATGGGGTAAGAGGGGGAGATAGGGAGGAAGAGATAGGAGGAAGAAAAGGAGGAGTCGGAGGACGAGGAAGAGGAGAAGGATCATGAGACGAAGGGGGATGGCGAGGAGGAACACTGGGGGAAGAGACGAAGGAGGATGAGACAAAGGAGTACGAGGGGGAGGAGTACGCGGAGGAGGAGGAGGAGTACGAGGAGGAAAAGACGAGGACGATAACGACTGAGGCGCGAAGGTCTGACCTGTTGGGGGCCTTCCGTGGCGCCCGCGTGGCCGCGGCCGCATCCTTCTGACCAGACACACCCTGGGGTAGGTTTGGACTCGATGTTCGAGAAAGGGAGACACGAGGAAGAAGGAGAAAGCGAAGGCGGGGAGGGAGTAGGATGAGCGAGGCGGGAGCAGGGATGACAAGGATGAGAAAGAGGAGGATCAACACGAGGACCAAAAGGCGGAATGTGATGCAGCAGGAGAGGGAGGGAGAGAGAGAGGGAGTGCTAGGAGGAGGTGAAGGAAGAGGAGAGGGAGATGAGATGAGAGGCTGGTTTCCTCTAACACCAAGGTGGGAAAATCGAATATACATACTGAAGGCTTTGCGACAAGCTTGCTCCGTGTATCGACTCTGCCTCGCAGACTCGAGGCGAAACACGGAATGCGATGGACTCTCGGCCTTGCGGGAGGTGGACAATGGGAGAGAGCAGGAGGACAAGGTCGAGCAGGAGTGGGACGAGGACGGGACACGGGCCCCCGAGCCAACCCGAGGATGCCCCATGGGTCCTGGACTCATCCCAAGCCTCGACATTCGAGCCCCCTATCCACTCCCTCCTCCTCCCCCTCCTCCTCCCCCTCCCCCCTCGCGTTCCTCGCCCCCCTCCTCCTCCAGGTCTTCCTCCTCCCTCTCCGTCTCGTCCTCCTCGTCTTCTTTCCTCAGCCTCGCGTGGGCGTCGTGTGGAATTTAAGGCATTGTGTTCACAAGCGGCGGCTGTGCCACAGAAGGCCCCACCTGGGCCACCAGGCCACAGAAAGCCCCAACGGGCCAGGGAAACCCCCAACGGGCTATAGAAAACTGTTGTTCTTCTCCCGCCCCTCCCCCTCCTCTCCCTCCCGCCCCGCCCCTCCCCCTTCCTCCTGGGAACACGAAAATGTACTGATACGCCGATGACGCTGCTCCCCGGACCTCTCCCAGGGTGCGTTCCGACCAAAAGTTCGAAGCGAATCCAGCGGTGGCGACGAGGGCTTCCCAGGAGGCCCAGCAAGGCGAAAACGAGGGGTGGCGGTATGGGTACCTTTCTCCTTCTCCTTCTCCCCCTCCCCTCATCACCCCCCGCCCGCACCCCGGGGAGCCAAAGACGGCGGGGTGGGGGGAGACTTCCTGGAGGGCGCCGCCGCGGCGGGCGCGAGCGGCGGCGCGGGGGTTGCCCCGTCGGGCGTGGGCGCGGGCCGCCGGCTGCCTCGGCGAGATATGCCCAGGCGCCGCGGGCCGGGAGGAGGGAGCGGGTGCACCAAACTCCGCTGACACGTGGAGACGGGGAGGGCAGCAAGATCCAACCCCACACCTCCATAATAAGCACCCTGGCAAGCAAAGCCGCTCAGTAAGCGCACCGAAGGAGGGAATCGAACAGGGCAGGGCTGTATAGAGAGCGCCACTGCATCAACCTTCGCATTCAAAGCAAACATGGACCAGGAACAGCTACAGTCGGACTTAGGACAGACGAACATCCCTCAAGAACACGAGACCCTGCACGGGCCACAACGCACAGAACATCCAAGGGTACCCTCCCCAGGGTGCACAAGAACACCCAACAAGCACGAAGAACACAAGGGTACCCTTCCCGAACCGACCTCGATCTTACAGCTCGGTCCGACTGTACGTCAACTTTCGGAGCTCCGCGCGGATTGCTTGGATCAGCGTTGGGACCGCCTCGCTGGCGCGCCAGGGGGTCCGGCGCCGATGCATGAGATCCACGCGGACCTTGGAAAGTCACTCCTGTGCCAGAGTGAAGGAGCCGAGCGGTCTTACCCTGTCCCTGGGTGCGTGGCTGAAGAAGAGCCTCACGCTGCCGATTCTAACTGTATTGTGTTGCCATTGCGTTGTCATCGTCGTCGCCGTCGCTCCCGCGAACCGTCCCGCGATCCCCCCCGCGGCCCACCGGGGCCCACCCCGCGATCACCTCGTGACCCACCCACGACCCACGCCCACGACCCACACTCGCAACACAACCGCACCGACTGGAACAAGACAAGCGCCGCCAGAGGTGGGCTGGCTGCGTTTCGGCGGCGAGCCCGGGGGGGAAGTGAGAAGGGGCGGGCCTTCTCAATCATAAAGCTCCGGAGACTCCGGGCCTTCTGAGCACTTTTCTGAGCCTTCCCGAAGACACGGAACACTTCTCAGAAGGCGCGAGGGCTTCTGAGAGAAGTCCCGCCGCCTCCTGAGAAGGCCTACTCCTTCTCATTTCCCCCCCGGGCGCGCCGCCGAACATCTGTCAAAATTGGCCCCCCAAACCCCTCCCGGGGTCAGCTCGAAAGATGCTCGAGGGCCCCGGGGCCCGAACACGGCCTCCGGAGGCCCAGAACCACCACAAGGCACGCCGAGCCTCGCAGCTCGAAGCTCGCAGCTCGAGCCTCGAGGCCCCTCCTCGCTCGCCGCCGAAGAGAGCGGGCAGCGCCCGCGGCGCGCTCGTGCTCTCCGCAGTGGCTCCCGCTGGCGGCCCCGCGGCCCGCCGACGCCCCGCCCCGCGGTCCGGGCGGCGCTGCTCTGCAGCGGAGAGCCCGCGGCTGCGGCAGGCCCATGGCTGCGGGGAGCGGTCGGCGCCCGCGGCGGGCTCCCCGACGGCCAGCCCCAGGGGCGCCCAGGGGCATGCCTAGGGGGGCCACGTGCGAGCCCTACCCCTACGCCCCACGATTTCCGAGGGGGAGGGTGGGGTTCACTTCGCTCGGGAGCTCCCGGGCGAAGTGACCCCCCCCTCCCCCTCAGAAATCGTGGGGCGTAGGGGTAGGGTTCGCATGTGGCCCCCTAATGCTATAGTACTGTAGGTGTCCTCCTCGGAGGCGCGCGTCCGACCCGAACACGTGGTATACCCATATGGTAGTGTATCGTTTCCCGAGCGGCGTGGCCAGGAAGCGCCCGCCACGACGCATATGCTATGAGATTTCTCGGTGCGCGCGTCGCCCCTGGGGGGGCGACGCACAAGCAGTATTAGTACGTTGGTGTGACGCCGAAACCCATACAATGAAGATACAGAATACAGGATGCAGCGCTGCGGGTGGTCCCGCGCACGTGCCCCTAGAGGGCAGCCGGGCTCGCTGAATGAAAAACAGCATCGAGAATCAATCTGCGCAGCGCTTTCGGGGCCGCCCGGTCGCGCGAACGCCCTCAGGTGTCCAATTCAGAAGCTTGGTGGGCCACGGTAATCGGGGAGACGTGAGACTTGGGCTCGGAAGACTCGGGTTGGAGCGACAGGGCCATCATGAAAATGACGAGACCCAGCCTGAAATTTGACGCGAGTTCCCGCTGCAAACATCCCACGAAAAATGGACCGTCAAAATTCCGGACGCACTAATCAAAAAGCGCTGGCAAAACAGAGTTCCGGCGTACACGAATTTACGTTTACTGGATTCTTTACAGCCAACCCGTATCATAAGGACGCACGATAAGAATGCAAGGGCCTTGGAAGGCCATGTCGACACTTTGCCAGCGGGACGCGGCCTGCGAAAGCGGCCAAGGATGGGCCGTGCAGCCAACCGGTATAATGAGGACGCACGATAAGAATGCAAAGGGCCTTGGAAGGCCATGTCGACACTTTGCCAGCGGGGCGCGGCCAGCGAAAGCGGCCAAGAATGGGCCTAAGGGGAAGGATGCCAGGGCAACCGTGGAAAGTCGCTCATGCTTACTATGCGGGTTGACTGTACATTGGCGTTCGAGCCACGCAACCCCCGCAAGGCAGCCCAATCGCTCCATCGCTCTTATCCACAATGGCAGGGGGGCTGGGTCGATGTTCCCAATCTCCTCAGATGGGGGTACCGTTATCAATGTGACGCCTGCGCCTTCTCTTCCTCCTTACCTCCCGCCTCCTTCCTTCTCCCTGTTTGCTCTCAGGCTCACTCACACGTAGAAGAACCCTCACACAGACCTACTTATGTACAGACTATGTATAGTTACAGTTATATGCACATGTACTCAGCTTAGTCATACTCAGACTCGCTCATCACCAAGCTTCCTGACACCTAGACCCACACACGCACAGACTCACTCACACTCAGACCCATTCAGAGCCTCACACTCATGGGTTCACCAGATTCATTCACACTCGGACTCATTCACACTCTGACTAACTCACACCCGACGCAGCAGGCGAAGCAGTTGGGCACCCCAGGGAGGAGCCTCCAGGGAGTGGGACGCTTACCCGCTCGCGCCCAGATCGTGAGGATGTCTCAGGCGGTGTGCCTGTTGGGTGGATCATGCTCCTCTCTTCTGAGAGCCCCACTGCCAAAACGATATCACAGATGTAACAAGTACCCCAAGGAGGAGCCACCAGGGAGAGGGGGGGGGGGAAGCACTTGCCCGCTGGCGCCCAGATTGTGGGGTGTCTGAGGCGGCGTGCCCGTTTGGTGGCTCAGACTCCTCTCTTTTGAAAGTTTCCTGACCACCGCGGCACAGCAGGCGTGGCACTTGGGCGCCCCAAGGAGGAGCCACCAAGGAAGGGGACACGTGCCCGTTCGCGTCCAGAGCGTGGGGATGTTCGAGGCGATGTGCCCGTGCTGCCGCTGCAGACCCCTCTCTCCGAGAGTTCCATGACCATCGTGGCATGGCAGACGAGGCACTTGGGTACCCCAGGGGGGAGCCGCCAGGGAGAGGGGCACTGGCCTCTTCGGTCCCAGATGGAGGGGATGTCTGTCGGCTCGCCGGCTTCGGCGCCTCTGTTTCTGTTTCTGTCGAGAGCCCCGTGATCACAACGATATAGTGAACGCAGAACGTGGACACCACAAGGGGAAAGCCGCCACGGGTGCATCACGTGCCCATTCGCGCCCAGAATAGGGGGGGGAATACCTCAAGCGATTCGCCTGTTTGGGCGCCTCGGACTCTCTTCTTTTTACAGCTCGACAATCACCACGGCACCACGATGTAGCAGGCATGACATTTAGACACCCCCAAGGGGGAGCCGTCAGAAGATGTGTCATGGGCCCGTTCGCGCCCACATTGCGGGGATGTCTCAAGCGTTTCGCCTGGTTTGGCACCTCGGACTCCTCTCTTTTGAAAGCACCATGGCACCGTGATGTAGCGCAGGCATGGCCTACGCAAGGCCTAGGGCCTAAGGTGTGTTACACTTGCCAGTTCGCGCCCAGATCGTGGGACCTCTCAGGCGAAACGCTGGTTTAGGCACCCTCGACCCCACTCCTATCAGAGACCCAGGCCATTCCGATGCAGCAGACATCGCCTTTTGGTACCCGAAGGGGGAGCCGCCAGAGAACACTCAATCGCCACAAACTAAGATTCTTTCATTCAGACACTCATAGACGGGAATGCCAAGAAAAGAGATGCACTCCTGGGTATCTCCGTAACGAACAGCTGTTCGGGTGGAGGAGGAAGGAGTTGAGGAAACAACTTCTGCGAGGTGTTCGCGGGCACGGTTAAGGGCTACACATCCCGATTTAATACCACTAAGCCAGATTGGGCCCGAATGAGTCCAAGATATAAGCCAGACTAACGTTGCGGGATTAGGCGCGATACGGCATGAATTAGGACGATGACGGTGTTCGACAACGGGAAGCCAGCGCCGATGCTACATCTCACCGCTCAAAGCTGCAGCCAGCAGGGGGTTACCGCACTGTGACCTGAGGCACGCGCGCGGTCGAAGAGGGGCCAAGGGACGCGCTGAAAGAACGGGGGCCGTGACATCCGAACATCTCGTGGCTCCGACCATGGTGTCCCCCACCCAGTCCAGCCGCCTCTCTTGGACGCCACCAGGACAGAAGGTCCGCAGCAACACCCGCAGCGAACCCTCTTCACATTGGGCAGGAACTCTGAGGAAATTAAAAAAGGTACCAATGCCGCTACTCCCCAGACCTCTCCTGGGGTGCGCTCTGACTAGAATTTCGAGGCGAATCCGGCGGTGGCGACGAGGGTCTCCCAGGAGGCTCGAAAAGGGGGGAAACGAGGCCAGGGTGGCGCTGTCGGTACTTTCCATCCCCCGAAGCTGCTGTTGGTCTTTGTCCCCAATCTTCCCGCCCCCATTTCGATCGCACCCGCACCCAGACATCCAGGTCCAGCGCCGCGATTATTCCGAGGCGCATTCGTCGAGCACTGCATTCACTCGTGAGGACCGCCCCCGTTCTCCTCCCCTCCTCCCCCGTGCTCGTTCAGGCTACTGCGCTGTAGCCTCGCCCTTTAACGGGTCAACCCCTGTGGTTTGACCGCGAGCTTCTGCCTGTCTCGGGGGCGCGCAAACATGGATCAGCGATCCATGGATTTGGCGTGCGGTCGCCAAATCCATGGATCGGGGGAGGTGCCCTCCCCATAATGCGACCAATGCCGCCTCGCTCGGCGGCGGAAATCCGCGATTTCCGATGGAAACCGGACCCGCCGCTAATTTTGCGATCGCCCGACCTGTCTGTGGGCCCGCAGACCTCTCGACCCCTCGCCCCCCGGCCTCCCGAGCCGTTCCTGGACGGCCCCAAGCCGCGCTCCTGGGGCCAGGCGTGCAGAAAAAAACAGGCGGCCCCGACCTCTCCGACGGCCAGCCTGACGACAATCTCAGGGGCGTGCCCTCAGAAGCTGAGGGAATCCTTGAGATCGGCACCGAGGTAAGGTGATGCCAAAAATAGGGATGGGGGCAGATTTGAAGCTGGTAATCCAAACTGCCACTGGCAGCTTGGAGTACCGCCATCTGCAGATGGGCCACAACATTAAACCAGTCTTACGCAAGATGGCATAACGACCTTACGCCGCGTCTAACGCGGGCCGCCAGTGCGGCACGCCACAGTGGAGACGAGGGCGCTTGCGAGCGAACTTACTCGAGCAGCTTACGCGCGCACGTCGGCGCAGTCGCCTCCGTTTTCTTTCGTCGCTCAGATGTTTGTGGGTAGAGGAGGAGGAGGAGGAGGAGGAGGAGGAGGAGGAGGAGGAGGAGGAGGAGGAGGAGGGAAGGAGGAGGAGGAGGAGGAGGAGGAGAAGGAGGAGGAGGATCGCTCGCGGACGGATCCGAGCCCGGCGCCCCGCGCGAGCGGCTGCGGCCGCTCCTCCGGGGCGGCGGCAGCCGCCGCGTGCGCCGGGCTCCCGCCGGACTCCTTCGCGGTGCCTCGGCCGCACGCGCGGGCGGGGCAGGACCAGGCCGGGAAGCTGGAGCGGCTCGGCTATCAGCAAGGAGTCGGCTGCGCCAGGGTGGACGACAGCGCCGCGCAGTGATGGTGGTAGCAGTACTAGCAATATTAAGAATACAAATGAAAAAGCCACGACGACGACGACAACGACAACGACGACACCGACGACAGCGACGACGACGACCTGCCAGGACTGCGACGACGATGGCGACCAACGCTGGCGACGACGACGACGACCCCGAAAATTGAGGGGTCTCATGGAACCGGCAGTGAGATCCCCGCCCATCCTCACCCCCCTGTTGGACGCCCGCGATCGGCCCTCGAACATCGATCATCCGTCCTCGTTTATCCTCGATCATCCTCTCGGCGGCGAGCGAGGGGAGGAAGTGAGAACGAGGCCTTTTCCGAAGGTTCGGAAGTCACCTGGCCTGGTGAAAAGTTTTCTGAGCCTTCCCCGAAGACGCAAAGAACCTCTCAGAAGCCGCGAGGGCTTCTGAGAAGTCCCGCCGCCTTCTGCTGGGAGGGCCTTCTCCTTCTCACTCCCCCCCGGGCGCGCCGCCGAATATCAGACAAAATTGGTCCCCGGACCCCTCCTCGGGTGAATCCGACGCGCATCCCGGATCGACTTTCGATGGCCCTGGGGCCCGAACACGGCCTCCAGAGGCCGAAAACTGCGAAACAGCGCCTCGAACCTCGCAGCTCGAACCTTGAAGTTCGAACCTCGACAAGCCTCTCCTCGCTCGTCGCCGATCCTCACCGGGCGAGCCCGGCTGAGCACCCCCGCCCTCGGCCGCGCTGGAGGTGTCGTTGCCGGCCTGGGCGGCGGCCACCGCTCTCCTCGGGCGGCCGGCGTTGCTGCGGGTTTGTCGTCGCCGCCGCCGCCGCCTCCTCGTCGTCGTTGTGCTCGTCGTCGTCGTCGCCGTCATGATACGACTACTATTTCCACATCTTGATATTGTTTCTCCTGCTGACGAGGAGCAGAGGAGGAAGATGAGGACGAGGACACGAGCGTCGAGGATCGTCCAGACGGAGGGCCGACAAAAGGAACCCGCAAGCACCCGAAACCGTTCCTCGCTTCTCCCGCCGTGCGGCGCTCCTACCCGTCCTCCCCCCGCTGTTCCTCCTCCACCTCCTCCTCCTCCTCCTCCTCCTCCTCCTCCTCCTTCTCCTCCCCCCTCCTCCTCCTCCTTTCCTTTTTCCTCCTCCTCCACCTCCTCCTCCACCTCCTCCTCCTCATCCTCCTCCTCCTCCCCCTCCTCCTCCTCCAGCTCGTCCTCCCTTCTCATCCCCCTTCTTCTCCTCCTCCTCCTCCTCCTCCTCCTCCTCCTCCTCCTCCTCCTCCTCCTCCTCCTCCTCTCCTCCTCCTCCTCCTCCTCCTCCTCCTCCTCCCCTCACTTTCCTTTTCTTCCGTTTCTTCCTTTTCCTCCTTTTCCTCCTCCTCGTCCTCCCTTTTCCTCCTCCTCCTCCTCCTCCTCCTCCTCCTCAACCTCCTCCTCTCAAGCAACTTGGGCTCGAGCGCCATTTTGGCATCCGACGCCCAACCTCGCGCCTCCTCGTGGTACTTGGCGCTTCCTGTCCAACCTTGAGGACGGCCAGCTGCGCAGGCGAAAGCAAGGCTTCACCCGTGGACACATGGCGAAGGCATGGAGCATATGTGCGACATGTGGCACTTACGAGTATAACCAGAAGATCGTGGCCAACTCGATGAAGTGCGGCACGTGCAATCGTCCTGTCAAACTATACCAGGCCAGGAAAGGCCAGAAGGATCAGCATCAGCCAGACCTGCAGAACACTAAGGGCACGGTCAGCGCCCAGGCAGCAGCATCGGCCACCATCCAGGCGCTCACCGCTGCCATGGCTATGGTGCCCGACCCGACCAGCAAGCAGGTTCTGGCCGAGCAGATTGCAGCGACGCAGCGCGGGGCTCAGGCGGCTGGCCCGCCCTCTGCTGTCTCGCCGGGCGAGGCGGTTCGGCGCGCCGAGGGCGCGTGGAAGGGCGCCGAGCAGAAGCATGCGCAGGCGGCGGCAGCCGTCTCCCGGTGCCAGGAGAACCTTTCGGCGGCGATGAAGCAGGAAGAGGGGGCGGCCCGCGCGATGTCGCTGGCGGAGATCAGCAAACGCACGGCGGCGGTGGCCTTGGCTCGCGAGGCGGGCGTGGCGACTGCTGGCGGCGGCGCTGGCGGAGGCGGCCCCCGAGGGTGGATGGGGTCAACGACAGCGACCAGCAGCCGATGATGAATGCGACGCGGGATGAAGAGTTCTTCAAGCAGCTCGACACGCTCGAATGCACCGACAACGAACGGGAGGAGCTCAAGAAGGTCGAGGCCGAGCTGAAGGCGGTCAGAGACAGCGTCGTCAGCAAAGCCGACGAGGTGAAGAAGTAGAGGACGCAGGTGCTGGACTTGAGGCAAAAGGTGCTGAGCGCGTGGGGCAGAAAAGCAAGACCGAAAACGTCGATGGCGCCTCGGCTGGCGACGGCGGCAGCGACCAGGGGCCCGCCGTGGAGCCTGCGGCGGGAGCCCCCGCGGCGACGCCACCACCAGCGGCGGAGGGCACCGCGGCCGCCTCAGGTCAGCCGTCGGAGCACGAGATCAAGGGGGAGATGGACCGCACCAGGGCAGCATCGGCGGCGGCCAAGGCGGCGGCGGAGCAGGTCCCCGTGGGGGGGGGCGAGGCATGAAGCGGAGCGGCGGCGGCGGACCTCGCCGCGCCCGCTGCCACCGAGCCGCCAGCGCCGTCCTCGGGGGCAGTCGTCGGAGGGCGACGGCAACGCCTCCGCGTGCATGTTCTTCAGCAACGTCACCATCCTGGGCAACAAGTCGTGGGGCTACCTGAGCTCCGCGCCGACGTTGGCCAAGTGCGAGTGCATCGGAGTAAGGGAATCTCATTTCGGCGCTCATTCACGGGCCAGGTGGGCTCCACGGGCGAGGGCGCTGAAGCTCAAGTACATCGAGAACCCCGCGACGACGACTGGTCGAGGCACCTCAAAGGCCGCGGAGGGGCGCGCCTACGAGGGCGGGGAGACCATGTTCACACGCGGACATCGAGCAGTTCATAGTGTTTTTGACAAGCCTCGTGAGGGCGCCAGCAACCACGGCGCATGGCGCAGTAGCTTCTACATTCGAATGGCTTCTCACTGCCTGTGCTACTGTTTCACGCACGCCCGTCAGTCGAATTTCTGGGCATCAGCTCGGCACGATATGCCAAGCTGGGCGCATTCTTATCGTCAGTAAAGTGACCGTGGCTAGTGTTCGGCGACTCTACTATTGACGTTGACAAATTTCGGAGGCCAGCATTCTGCCGCCGCGTCAGAGGCGTGGTTCGTCGGGCTGACGTGGAATGCGCATGCATCGGAAGTTCAAGTAGTTTGCACATCGAGTTCGCGATGGCGTCAGAGAGTTGTATTCCGCACATTCGCAGTCTCACCGCAGTTGTCGACCCCCCGTGGGCACCTCGCATAGGATTGGAATTGAAGTTGAGAGGCACAGGAGAACAAATTCTTTGTAGATCATTGCTCGTTGCCCCCAGATTGCTACAAGTTCCGCGCCCCCCAGTTGCTGCAGCTGCCGGGTCGGAGTCCAGCGCGAAGAAGGTCGATCAGGCCGAGCGAGCACTAAAAGAAGGAACGTCTGACCAGTGAGCGCGGTCAGCTTTGCGGTGGCATGTTTGCCCGTAAGTCTCACCCCGAGCTCCCCGATCCTGGAGACCTCGACCCATCTGCTGACGGCCCTGCGGTTTCTCGTCGCAGGTCGACCCCCTGGGGAAAGAAGGCTTCGAAGGCCTTTTAGGCGGGGAGCAAGGGGGCCCGGGGGCCGACGAGCCCTCGTTTCAACCCGCCCCTAGGTCGTCAAAGTGCACGTCCCTTGGAGGGGGCAACATCACAACCTGGCAGCACCAGCACGGTCGAGATCCACAGGCCGTGAATTGCGCGTGGCTGCTGTCTAGCAGGCTGAACATGTGCGACGGGGGCCGCTTCGAGACGGCATTACTACATGGCGCTCCAGGATTCACAATATTGCGCAGCGCGTTCTACGCCATCGTAGGCGCAACAACGGCGTCGTACAGCTGGGTTACTTGTCTGCCGCTGCCACCAGATCGGCCGATCAGCCAGTCGACGGCGCAGGCACGTCGCTCCCTGTCCATCTGGGGTCGCGGCAAGGCCTGCTCCAGGACCTCAGGCGCATCGTTGACCTCAGCCTTGACGAACTGGGGGCGCTGGAGGACAAGGCTTCCAGGGCCTCGCGGAGGGCTCGCAACCGAGCTGCCGCGTCGTCATTGAACGATTTCCAGCATTGGTTTCGCAGCTTAGACTCAAAAGAGCAAGCGTATCGTTCGCTGAAAGACCCAGGCCCTGAGCGAGACGAACTTCACGGCGAGGGCGGTTCGGTTTGTGTGCATCCCAAGGACATCGTCGACTGCAAAGTTGTTCGCTATCATAAGTTATGGCATTCACAACCTGCATCTTGGCTAGGGGTTGGCCACCGTGGCGTCGATCAGATGCCGGGCCGATGTGGAACAGTTCGCCCCGCTTGAGGTGCAGGACGTTCGTGCTGCTCTGTCGCGCATGAAGGCGCGAGCGGGCCTTGGAATTTACAGGCTGTCTCCGACTGACATGGACAGACTGCCGGGCGAGGGGGCCCAAGGCCTCTGCGACCTCTTCCGCATGATAGAAGACGGGCTTTCTTGGCCGCGGCATGTCATGTGCGTCGCAAAAAAGCCGCTCGGCAACAAGTCGGGCGGCGATCGAGCCACCGGCTTGGTCGCCATGCTTTGCAGAGTTTGGTCCATGGCCAGGGGGGGCCAGATGGAGGCCTGGTCGGCTGCTCAGGCTGAGACGGACCACTGGGGCGCGGCCATCGCTGGCAACAGCGCCCTGCGGGGCGCGTTCGCGAGGGCATTGCAGGACGAGATTCAAACTCGTCTTAACGTTCCCCGTGGCCAGACGGTGGTCGATACCGCCTCATTCTACGATCCCAGCAGTCATCTGGCACCTCGAGCTTCAGATCTGCCTAGCGCCTCGAATGTTGGATCAGATCGACTCTTTCAGCGACCCGTTCCAGGTGGCGCGCCTGGTTGCGCAGGGGCCCAGGAACGGCGCCAGGTTCGCCGAGTGTCTCACGGCGCATGTTTGCCGGCACCTGCGTCAGGCGCACGTTTCTATTAGCGAGAGGATTCGGGAAGATGATCTATCACAACGAGTTCTGGGATCGCGGCAGCATGCGAGGACGACACCCATCAAAAAAGCGCTGTCAACGATCAGGATTTTTCCCAGCTGCGCAGCAGCTAGCCATTGCCGACAGGAGCGTTTCGGCGCGCTCCCGTCACAGCGACGCGCAGGCGGCGGGGCGCGACCCCAGGAGAGAGGGCGCCAAGCTGCGAACGGCGCTGCAGACAGCCTACCTGGGGGGGGGGGCTTGTCCAGCGGCAAGAGGCAGGGCCGCGCGACGGTCGGGCAGCGGGCGCCCATGTCCAGCAAGGCGCGCGGGCGACTGCGGCGATGCGCACAGGCTGCTTGGCGCTGGGCGGCGCCCGCCAAGATGAGGGGGCGGGGCCGCAAGCCGCCGCCGTCTACGGGCATCGCGCGCGCGCGGGCAGTTCGGCGCGGTCTTGCAGGCTCAGCGCCGGCGGCGCGGCGCAGCTGCTGAGTCGGCCGAGCGAGGCCGATGCCTGACGACGCTGCTGGCGCCCAGGGCTCAGGCGGCGACCCAGGAGTGCAGCTACCACGCCAGTGTCTTTCTCAATGACTGAGCGCGTGGCTGACCAACCCGCAGCTTCGGCCTTCGATCGCGCGGGCGCGGCTGCGCGCGGTCGCTCATCTTTCCGGCCTTCATGTTGGTCAGAGAGCCTGCCATATTCGAGGGCCGATGACGACAGTTATCATGCATTTGCTGGAGGCTGGCTGGGCGCCGTCCTCGCCAACTGAATGGGAAGTGCCGCACGATGGATCTTCGATGACGCACTCGTGGCAATTTCACGGGGGCGATTTCGAAGCGCTGGATCAGGCAGGACCTCTTCTTGATACGAGAGCTTCAGCGGCGGCGTGCAGCCACGTTGCAGTTCTGTGGAGAAGGAGTGGGTCAAGGAGTCGACCTCGCTTCTCTGCAGTCCATGCTTCGCGACCTTCAGGACGTCAAGAAGGGCAGGCAGCTGGCTGAGCATCTCGCGCCCATGGCGACGGGGGCTTCTAGACGCGACAGAGGAGCTTCCAGGCCAATTGAGCAGTTGGGAGTTGTGCTTGAGGTGCGGAAAAGAAACCCGAGACACCTCCACACAGATGTTGGACATGGGAGGCTAACGCCGATCCCGTGTCCAAGGCATATGCTGATTAGAATGGGCTTCTTCCCTAGGCCATTTCTGAGTCCGAAACATCCCCTTGCTTCTGGATGCGGGGCAAGCAACCTGCTTGGAGGTCTTTGGGAGGAGGGTTGTCTTGGGTCTAGCACGTCTCTGGGGCCCTTGGTCTCGTTTGGGAACGCCTCAGGAAGCAGGGGCACTCACGACTCAAGGCTCCGTAGCGTAGGCCTGGCTGTCGCCGACACTGATAGCTGTGATCCGCCTGCGCTCGGCCCGCACAGCATGGGGGCGCTCCCAGGGCCCGCCCAGAGTGTTCCTAGGGGCGAGCTTTTAGCTTTCCTTTGGGCTCTCCGATGCTCGGTCGGGGTGCTCGTGCACGTGACAGATTGTGGTGAGGTAGCGAGGGGATGGTACGCCGAGCTTTTCCGCGGGCCCAACGGGCCGCAGGCCGACCTCTGGAGAGAGGCGGGCAAGCTGTTGTTGCGTCAGGCTCGGCATCCCAACAGTATTGTCATATTGCTGGTCCCCTCGCATCTCGAGGCGAGCGAGTTTCTTGCTCGTCGAATCCCAAGCTGGCTTGTGATCGGACATGCTTGTGTCGACGTCCTAGCTGGAGAATCTTCCGCGCGCGCGAGTTTCCCAAGCCAGTCGTCACCAGGTTGTGTCCATTGAACATAAGGCCATGCTCGTCCAGAAGAGGCCCTTAAGAGTCGGTCCAGATTCAATCCGATCTTCTGAATTTGTCAGGGGAGGCTGGAGCCAAAGTACGCTCGGGGCCGCCACCTCTGCCTCCCCTTCCCCCTATAGCTGTTGCACGCTTCGCGTCCGCCCATACCCTGACCGAAAGCGGTAGGGCGTGTAGTGACTGTGTGTAAAGGCTCTGCGGCCAAGGCGGCATTTCAGGATGGTTAAAAAGTGAATGCTTCCAACTCCAGCATGTAAACAGTCAATTCGCCCGTGTTCCGAGAGGAGAGGAAACGCGTTTCACGGGCGCTTGCCTGGGGAACATTCGGCGGCGCGTTCCGAACCGGGGGTGGGCCACCCCCCCCAACACTCGGCGCCGTCGATCAAAACCAGGGGGACTCCCCTCCACCCCAACCCCCCCCCCTCCCGAACCCCTCCCACCCCCCCTCGGCGCCGGCGCCGGCGCTGGCTGCCGCCAGCAGCGCCCACGGCGGGGACGCAGCGACGATGACCAGAGGCAGCACAGGGGAGCGGGGGGGTTTCAACCCCCCCCCTCCCTGGCGCCAGGGAGGGGAAGGGGTGTCAACCCCCACCCCCTGCGCGCCGGCGACGGCGCTGGCGGCAGCCAGCAGCGCCAGCAGCGCCACCACCAGCAGCCCCCACTCCCCCTCGCGCCCACCGCCTCAACCATCACTAACAGCACCACACAACCACCACCACCACCACACCACCACCACACCACCACCACAACCACCACCACAACTCACCATCACCACCACCACCAGCACCACAAAAACCCACCACAACTACCACCACCACCACAATCTACCACACCACCACCACCACCGCCACAACCACCACCACTACCAGCAGCACAACCCAACCGCCACCACCACAAACCACCGCACCACCACCACTACCACCGCCACCACCACCACCACATCAAACGTCCACACACCACCGCCACCACAACAACCCACCACCACCACCACCACCACAAACCACCACCACACCACCACCACACCACCACAACCACCAACACCACAACTCACCATCACCACCACCACAAAAACCCACCACCACTACCACCACCTCCACCAATCTACCACAACACTATCACCACCGCCACAACCACCACCACTACCAGCAGCACAACCCACCACCACCACCACAAACCACCACAAACCACAACACCACCACCACCACCACCACCACCGCCCCCACCACCACCAACACCACCTCCACAAACCACCGCCACAACCACAACCCACCACCACCACCACAAACCACCACCACACCACCACCAAACCACCACCACCACCACTACAACCCACCATCACAACCACCACCATCACAAACCACCACCACACCACCATCAAACCACCACCACCACCACCCAACGCCACAACCACCACCACAACAAACCACCACACCACCACCACCACCACCACAACCACCACCAAAGCCACCACCACCACCACCACCACAACCCACCACCACCACCACCACCACCACCACCGTCCTCGTCGACGCTCCCCGCCACCGCCGCCCGCCGCCTGGCCCAGAAATGGAAATCGTCGATCCCGCCGCTGTCGCCAGCCGCCGCCGACGCAAGCGCTGGCCCGAGGAGAGGGGAAACAGGGGGTGGGGTGGGGGATCGAACCCCCCCCCCCCATCACGGAAGGGGGGGGAGGGGGGTGGGGGGTCCGGTTTCACCACCCCCCCTCCAAGCGACCACAGAACGCGCTCTTTCCGAGAGGACGACATTTACACTTGGCTGAGGGGTGGACCCATCCAACGCACGCTTTGATTTATCATAAAGACCTTCAATTGTGGTACTGTGGCACGTTCGGCTTTTTCGGTCAGGCCCAGCTCAGAGGGCCAGCGGAACCGTGCAGAGTACCCGTTTCGAATGCCAGGCGCGAGTATCTCGACAGGATTGGACGCGGCCTGTTTCCCAAGAGCTGAGCTTTAAGGCTGGTTATCACTACGTGATGGCGGAAATCCTGGAAATCCTCCTCCTCCTCCGCCTCCTCCCTCTTCCTCTTCCTCGTCATTCTCATCACTCCTCCTCCTCCTCCTCCTCCTCTTCCTCCTCCTCCCATTCCTCCTGCACCTCCTCCTCCTATTCCCTCCCTCCCCCCTGATAGTCCTCGCCCTCACGATGGTCCTCCTCCTCCATCCTTCCCATTCTCCGATTTCCTCTGCCAGCTCATCCCCACCTAGAGCTCCCCCCGATCCACCCCCTTTCCCTGCTCCAGCTCCTCCCTCTCCTCGTCCTTCTCCTCCTCCCCCTCATCCCCCCTCGCCCTCCACCCCGCCCTCCTTCTCCCCCTCCCTCACTGCGCCCTCGCGGTGGAGGAAGGGGAGGTCGACGACGACGACGACGACGACGACGACGACGGCGGCGGTGACCACGGCCGCCGCGGCGCTGTCCTCGCGGTCAAGCCGCCACGCCGTTCGTCCCGGTGCGGGGTACCCGCCGACACCCTCCGTGGTCACGGGTGTGCAGAGGCACGCGTAGCTGTCTGCGGCGGGCTTACGTCACGATGACAGCGGCGTGACGGCGCTGGTATCTAACAGTTCGAGTATGGGATCAACTACAGAATTGATTTAACCCAAGAGTTGATTTTTTCTCATCGGGCCTACGCAAAGTGCACACACTGCTCGTAGAGATATACGAACTTTATACGCATTGTTCGTGGATCCGACGGAAAGTCAATTTTGGGGTAGTAGTGTCGGTCCCCTACTCGAGCAGTGGGCATCGCTCAGCCTCGACCGATCACGGCCTCCAAATACCGCAGATTGTTCGGCATCGGCCGCTTCCAGGCCATCGGCAACGTTCCACCGTGGACGCCCACGCCAAGGCCGCCGCACCGCGCCAACGCGCGTCACGCGGACCTGCCTTGTGAGGATCTGGGCCAGGAATATTCGCCCGCATCCATCGATCTGGAGGTGTGCCCCCGAACATCTAGCAGATTTCGCGGGAAGGGGTCCATGTCCGAAGCTCCGCGAGATCCATTTGGAGGCGTGCCCCCGAAAATCAAGAGGACTTCGCGGGAAGGGATCCATATACAAGGCTCCGCGAGATCCTCGGAGGCTCGTATGGCTGCCGAGTGGCGCGGAGCCTTGCTCCAGCAGAGACGATCAGTCGGAAGCAAGAGGACAAACGATGGCAAAGTGTTACCCTTTCAAAGCAAACTATCCGAGAGGCTACCAAAGTCCCTAATTCTAAAGGTGGTGGACCCTCTGTCTCACTATATGAATATCGGTACGCTATGCAAATCTCCACTTCCCTCCCAGGACAACTCACCTGGGCACCGATTCAGGCTGGACGTGTGGGGATGTGCGAAGCGTTAAGGAGTAAATAGGTGACCGAATAGTTATGAGCTGACCCACTCTGGGCAATCGCCCCAGATGGCCACTGCGCAGAGACGGCACAAGCGAGGCTAAATTGAACGTAGTCAGAACTAGAAGCACGCGCGCGCTTCGCGCGCGCTTAGGTTCTAGCTAGGATCGTCACCGTCGTCATCATGAACATCACCATCGCCACCATTCCCCCCGCCAGGGCTAATGTACATCGTTTCTGGATGCTTCTGGCCGGAATACGAAGGGAGTTTCTGTAGTCAGAGTCTCCGGCGGAAGTCGCGGGGCCCCTCAGGATACTTACGGATGCCTCTGATAGTACTTAAGAAATGATGGACCCGTCATTTTGTACCTGTGCCTTGATCAGTGGGACGGGCTTCGCACCGCCGCACATCACAAGACACGCTCGAGCGGATCCAGCCGTGGCGACGTCGGGGACTGCAGAAGGTCGCAAGGACACGGAATCTGAAAGGAAGAGAGAGAGAGAGAGAGAGAGAGAGAAAGAGAGAGAAAGAGAGGGAGAGAGAGACAGACAGACAGAGAGCGAAGGAGAGAGAGAGAGAGAGAGAGATGGAGTGAGAGAGAGAGAGAGAAACAAAAAAAAAAACAGAGCGAGAGAGAGAGAGGCAGAGAGAGGAAATGGAGAGGAGGCGAGCTTGAGTCAACGAAAGTCGCAGGGAAGGGGGCAAGGGGAAGAAGGCCAGAGAGCGCTGAAGGATACAAATACTGGAACCCGTCGTGTAACGTCGGAAAACCCAAAAGACAACTTTGTTGAAAATGTACGTTTTACGTAGGGAATGGGCCACTTTTTGCGTCTAGGGGCCCTCTTGGGACGCATGTTGGAGGCTTCTTGGGGCCTCTTGGGGGCGTCCTTGGACGTCTGGGGTCTCCTGGGGCCTCTTGAGGGGCCTCCTGGGGGCCTCCTGGCGGCCTCTTGGGGCGGAAGGCTCGAGCTTGCGGTTCGTGGTCCCCCTCTGGGCCCCCTCTTGGGCCCGTCTTGGGGCCCTCTTGGGCCATCTTGGGCGCCTCTTGGGCCGTCTTGGGGCCCTCTTGGGCTGTCCTGGGGCCCTCTGGGAAACTTCTTGGGCGGTCTTGGGGCGGTCTTGGGCGCCTCTTGGGCCGTCCTGTAACGTCGGAAAGCCCAAAAGGCGACTTTGTTAAAAATGTACGTTTTACGAAGGGAATGGGCCAATTCTTGCGTCTAGGGGCCCTCTTGGGACGCATGTTGGAGGCTTCTTGGGGCCTCTTGGGGGCGTCCTTGGACGTCTGGGGTCTCCTGGGGCCTCTTGAGGGGCCTCCTGGGGGCCTCCTGGCGGCCTCTTGGGGCGGAAGGCTCGAGCTTGCGGTTCGTGGTCCCCCTCTGGGCCCCCTCTTGGGCCCGTCTTGGGGCCCTCTTGGGCCATCTTGGGCGCCTCTTGGGCCGTCTTGGGGCCCTCTTGGGCTGTCCTGGGGCCCTCTGGGAAGCTTCTTGGGCCGTCTTGGGGCGGTCTTGGGCGCCTCTTGGGCCGTCCTGTAACGTCGGAAAGCCCAAAAGACAACTTTGTTGAAAATGTACGT